TTATATATGCTTATACATATATATATATATATATATATATATATATATATAACTGTATTTATAATGCAGTCTTGTTTTATCCCGATGATAAAATTTTGCAAAAACGAGTAGAAAAATTTAGTATCATGTTGTATCTATATTGTCTATAAATCAGAAATAAAGATAAAGTCATACAAATTCTTGTTTTAATAAATTTAAAAAATTGATAGAGTAAATAAATTCAAATTCTTGTACCTTTTTTACATTGTATTTCATATCTTTTATGTACGTTATGTAGCTTCAAAATTAATTAAAAATCTTCCGTCTTTATCACACTGATTTCAAGCATAATCTTCTTTGCGTGAGCAGAATGAAGGAAATTTCAATTTCCGTTTGTGAATGTATGTTTGCGTCTGCATAGCTTGTTTATTTGTGTCATCAAACCTCCATCACATAGTGCTCGTCGTGGAAGGCAAACAGAAACTATTTCGCTAGCGCTTGCAAAAGTTTTTGCTTTACACGCTCTACTGAAACAGTAACCGCGGACAAACAAGAAGTACTCTTTCAAAGAATAATTCCACATACAGTCGAGACAACAGCTTCTTGCGCGAAAGCATCGAAAGCGGAGCAAGATCGATACTGTGAGACACTGACAAGAGTGTTTTCTTGCACGTCGATGAAGGAGGCAAGACGAGAAAGGAGATTGAAGACGCGAAAGAGATGGCTTCGCTTCACGATAATGATAGATGGAAACCTCCCCGTCTAGGCACCATCACGTGGACCGATAAATTATGGTAGGTCGGCCTGGCGAGAGGAGGTGAAGCTTCCTCATAGGAGACTTAAGGCAGGTCAGAGCCGTCGTGCGGAAAGCTGATAGATTATATAACGGGTGAAGAAGCCGCGGAAGAAACACGGGGAACCGATCAAGCCAGTAAGTGGCAAAGTTTGCCCGATTTCGATGTCTATTAATTCTATCAGATGGATCGACATCCCAAAGAGAGCCGATTCCGGAAATAAACGATGAGTAGGTCGGCGCAAGGTTGTCCGATGTCGAAACTGCGCAGCGTCACGTGGTCGCGCAATCATTAGCAAGGAAGACAGATGGGCTAATAGCGTTCTCCTGGCACGACCCCGTTTCCAAAACTCATCGCGGACCCTCATTTGCTCGAATGGCCGGGCACGATAAGAGGACGATAAGCCGTGCGCTTTCGCGAGGCTCGTTTCTATACTATTCAATCCCTGTACGAAAATTAATATCTACCTTTCCGATGTCTCCTCGCTGTGTACGAGACCTATTTTAGATATACAATACAGGATATGTCGACGCAATTAATTTATATTAGCAATTAATTGGAGTCATTGAGGTTTATGGCGATGTTCGCATTAATATTTATGTCATTATACGCACACTGCCAGCTCTTTACGCTACTTCTACTTTAAGTAGAAATCAGCAATGTAATTTATTAGTTACCAGTATATTTAACAATATATCTTTGATTGTTAATTAATGTGCTGTTTTTGAACTACATGATTAACAAAAAAACGCTATAACCCCTGCCGATCTCAACCGCAATCTTTTCCTTGGCCCCATCGTCGGGTTACCAGCATGTCGAATGCAACAATCAGGAAGCATGAAAGTCGTCACGTCTGAACGGCTCGGTTAAACGCTCGTCGATGATGTAGCGTGGCGCGCTCACGACATGGGAACGAGATCGACAGGCAACCACAAAGGTCCCCGCGGAGCCGTGTGAAAGCGCCTAACATGAGGAGACGTTTGCTTTCGATATACACGAGCACAAGGAGCGGGCACGAAGACAACCGCAGATGACCGGAAGAAAGTATCTAGTTAGCGTTAAATCTCGGTGGTAGCAATGAGTCCGCGGCGGCAAGAGAGACCTGCAATTTTCGAAATGCTATAATACATCGAGGGCTCGCAATTACAAATTAATAAACGGTCTGCGGTGCCTCTCTCTCTCTTTCTCTCTCTCTCTCTCTCTCTCTCGTGGCCCCCTTCCGGCATGATTTATATTCCAGCGTGTACGCTAATTACCTCCGTTGACCCGGCGCGCGCCCCTCTCTTCCCCTGGTCTACCAACCGCGCGCCCCGCCGGTGCGCGATAGCTTCCAGCGATCTGGCAAACTATAACACTTGCTTGCAGCGGCAAGTGTAAAGTTCAACAGGGCAGGTAAACCGCAAAGTTTAAACAACATCGGATGCGTTCGGCGCATTCTGCGCGAGAAGCGGTTCTGTCACCATCCTTCCGCTGCGACCACCGCCGCTGTTTTGCCCCTCGTCGTCGTCGTCGTCCTCACCTCCCGGGTTTCCGCTCCACCATTCTTGACGGGTTTGTCATTTGTCATAGCGCGCCCGTGATCCTTCCCTTCGCCCGCGACGATCCCTTTGCATAACCATCGGGACCTGCCTCTCGACACATGCCATCGGAAAACTTTGCTTCCAGCAGACGCGCGCTGCGTCGCGTCGTGTCGGCGTTGCCACGCGCTATACGTGCCGCATATCAAACGTGATGTCATTTCCCGTCGCGTTCCTCCGCCGAGGTCGAAACGCGTACAAAAGGAATCGACGTAGGTTTCAGAAGGGCGGAAAGCGATCGACGGTCTCGCTCAAATTGTGGCTTTGACGCGATTTCGCGCCCTCGAGGATCGAGCGTCGAATACGGGGTTGCGCGCAATCAAATAGCTCCACGCTTTTATTTCCAGGAGATAGCACGCAATGTAATTTCATTGCAAACGTTACTATGTAAAGGGATGCTTTTATACTATGCAAAAGACTATTGTATGTAAAAGAGGCTTTAAACCTTTCGACAAATAATTGTAAAGTTTTTTTTATTTTATTACTTTAATAAATTTAAATTTAAATAAATGTTTTATTTCCAGCTTTTTGTTCACAAGTCATAAAAATAATTGTTATTTAACCTTTTTTTTATATATTTTTATAACTTTTCTATTTATTTTCACATCTCTGAAATTTTAAAATATTTAAAAAATCTAACATACCATCTTCTTTTAAAATGGTTGCGTCATTTCGCTATCATTTTATGGCGAAAAACAGCAAGCCATCGGGCTTGTGTTTCAAATTCTTTTTACGTTATGTTACGGAGATTATCGAATTTTTCACATTGACCATTCAGTTGAAATGGAAACGAGAGAATTGAAAAAGACGGTTTCGATGATCGCGGCTATTGTGGAATTATCAATGCCATACAACGTCTGTCTGGCGGTACAACGGAATCCGAATAGAAATATATAAATTTTCCCCACACTCTCGTGCGATCCGGCTGTTTCGCGCCCACCAGCAGCATTACGATCGATCTAACAAACTATTTAGCAAACATTTTTCGCATATCGGCGTGTCGCTGGAAGCTATCGCGCGCTGTATACGTGTCGGGCTATAAAACGCGATTTATTATTATACGTATAAGCGAGCCGTGGTACCGCGCATACCAAGTATCAATGTGGGGAAAGTATTAGTGCGAACAGGGACAGATGTATTAGGCCATTGTTTCCGAGACACGTATCGCACCCGTGCGAATGCGCTATTCGCGAAAGACAGGCTCGCGAATTATCGCCTTTAAAGAAGCGTTATCGAGATAACATCTCTCCTCCATATATACGGGTTATAGTAGCGTGCGTGACGCAATGGGACGGCCTGACTGTCCGAGGTGGAAATAATTGGGCGTAAAATACATACAACGATATCAATTGTAGTCGAGTGTACTGTAAGCACGAAACGCACGCGATATTACATTTACTATAAGATATACAGAAATATGATAGACACGTTTGCACCACATATGCTGTGTCGGCTATTAAAATGTATTCTTATCGTTCGACAGATTATGTCCACGTGTGTGCTTTCTCGAGCCTCATACAGTCATAAACATACTATTTTACGATTAACGTCCGTGTTATTCCAGCTACTTTTTGTGCGATAAATCGGTATCCTACGTCGACTCGACTCGGCGACGTGTACATAATTATTGCGCTGACACGCTCTTCGCACGGGAGTACGGCATATTGAAGTATTGTGTTATTAGAGTGTCCACTTTACGTCTCTATTCAGCACTAGATAGAAATAAATGTAGCGATTGTCTCGCCGTCACGAAGCTTGTTAATTGACAGCTGTTCAATGAGCGCACAAAGAGCGCATTAAAAATGCTGCAGTAATAATCGCTCTAAAGATAACCTTCTCGTATCCTTAAATAAGATGTCTCATCTCTTATACACGATGTGGGTGGATGGCTCGACGAAAAAAAAAAGTGTCGGCAGTCAATAAATGTTTTGCTCACCGACATCGCACTTGCGCGTCGACATAGAAACGTCAAGCTCGATGGCGCGTGAGTCTCTACAGCTGTGTGATATGCGCTAAAAATATGAGATGAGTTATATATTCGGGAAGCGTATGTACGCTCTCATCCGCGCGCGAACGAGACGGGCGAGACTTCGAGAGGCATAAAAAATGCAGATAACGGGTCAGGCGCGTTGGGAAGCGATTCGCTTAGCAGCAGCGAAACGAATGACCGTGCGCGGGGTTGGAAAGCGAAATCGGGATGGGGTTAAGGCGATGAGGGCGGTAAGGGCGGCCACTTCCTTGGCGCAAATTATTGTAATTTGCATCGGTTAACTCCGTAATTACTTGGGGTTACAGGTTAAAGGGCCATTACCGCCTTCTCGCGGGCACAATACCCGCGCGAAACCGGCCTCCGGGTTTCTCCCTTCTGTTGCCGTAAGCGCAATCAACACCTGCCGTGAAACGGACGAGCTCCACCTGTATATATACGTGTACAGAGCGCCCTGGGCATCACGCGCACTTTCTCTCGGCTTACAGATAGCAGATCGGACTAAGAAGAATGCCGTTTGTTTGAATGACGTGGCATTAATAGACTCGAAGTTACCGATTCGATAATAGAAAGCATAAGCCGATTAAGATATAATAAAACTTTATTCTTCTTTTTATTCAATTTTATTTTTAATAACTTGTAACAATTATTCGATTACTTCATATAAAGTATTATGCCAGATCAAACTCGACGTCATCATCTAATTTTAGATATCAAAAAGAGCAAATTCGTGAAGTAACAAAATTTTCTAAAATTCGCATGCAATAAATTGTATAAGTTAATAAAGTTCACAATAAATTATGAACTTTGGTGAAGATATTTATTATATTAATACATGCTTAGAACACCCGATACATCACACGCATAAGCGGAAAAACGGCATGAAAAGCATTCCGTTTGATTGTATCGTAATCGTTTGGTTATCGTTCTTCCCTCGTTTTCAGAGAATGACTTATCGACTCCCGTCATTAATTGGTTATTCTTATTACGTCATATTGCTTGTGCTAAGGGTGTCAATTCGTTCCAGAAAATGTGAAAGCATTCCACGAGAAATAATTGTGCCTTTGGGTATACTAGCGGGCATTCGTATGGCAAAGAATAGGGCGCGCAAAATAACCGTCCGCCCCCGACAGTTTTGTGGCCTGGGAAACTTCCCGGCGTAAATCCGGGTTAGGATTTTTCAGAATCACTATGGAGGGATCGACAGATGCTGTTGGAAAAACCTGCGAATAATACTTTGTGAGAATCGAGAATTCATTTCGATGATCTGTCGATACTTTGTATATTTAAAATTCTTGTATTGCGTGGCACCCTGACATTTAAAAGAATCATAAACATTTACTGATTTTGTTATGATTGTAAGCACCCTAGAAACTTGTAAGTTAAAATAAATTTTTAATTTTAATATATATCAGATTTTGAAATTAGATTATTATTAAAAAGTAACTGATTTAGTGGCATAATTTTAAACATGCATATTATAAATAAAAACTACAATGAAGTAAGCATCACAAGATGCGTATATTTTCTAAATAATTTTAATTTTTTTTTGTATCACGTGCGAATTTTGTAGTTTCGAATGTATCATGCGTCTTCTTTACATGCACGATAAACATCAACGGAGTCTTGTAATATAGCGACATGTCACGAGCACCAGTCGTTCTGCTCTCAGCATGCTGCATTATATGATTCTGCAGTACTGATGTTGCTTCAAAGAAATATATGGTCTCGGCTGGACGTTGAAGAGAAATTTAATGTTCCACTTCGCCATTATACCATCCACCACATCATTAAAATTTTATATTGTAAAGTAGGAAAATTCTTTTGACCACGAATTTAAGAATGATCTCACAGATTTTATATTAATTTATACACTGTTTTGTGCTGGGGGGTATAATTTGCAACGCGCGCACAATACGTTATTTGCACGTTATGCATACTCGATTATAATATTGCGCAATTAATAAATTATATTTAGAGTATATTTAGAGGAATTACTCACAAATGATACATAACAGTCCGTACATCGAAATAAATGTCTCACTATACACGAATAGAATTTCAATTTATAACACTGTTTTATATTTAAAAGATCTTTTATGATTTAATTATTTAACGATTATTTAGCGTAAAAAGCTAGAATACAGTGTACTATGAAAGTATCTTTTTATGTTGTGTTAAATAATTAAACGTTTATAAAGGATGACAAGCTTTTAAACCATAAAACAGCTGTGTTATAAATTCGCCCGAATTGCCCGAAAACTGTTAGAGATACCGCAATTGTTTATTGCGAAAACATAGTTATTAAATTTCTTTGTCGGTAAATAATTAATTCAACGTGACACGATTTATTTCATAAAGGCCTCTTTTTATATCGCACAATAGGTTATACGCGATGTTTACGGTGCGTTATTCCTCTCGCGAAATACGTAGTGCCAACTAACGTGGCACGCCTGCAAAACGGATAGACCGTTTTTTGTCGTTCGTTCGTTCGCGAGAGAGAGAGAGAGAGAGAGAGAGAGAGTAAAAAGAGCGTGGAGAGTAGCGCGCGATAGCGAGCGCTGAATATAATCGAGCCACCGGTTGCCTTTGCAGAGAAGGGAGAACCCGCGGCGCGTTCCGTACGTTACGAGAATCGATCGAAACGAGATCTTATGGGCACTGCCGCTATTATTATTACGAAGTACGCGGTACGCCGCCTCGCTACCACCATTACGAAGTAATACACCGTTTCCTAACGCTCTCGCCGACATATTCGCCTCGTTTCAGTAATAAGAGAAAAAAAAAAAGAAAAAGAAAGAAAACGAGAAAGAAAGACGCGACGATAAAACGTCGCGCGAGAGAGGACTGGCGCGACGACGAAGATTTAACGGAGAACGAGAGACTCTCGGAAGTAATCAGACACCTTGAGGCTCTTGCACGCCGGAAGTCGAGTAATAGCCTCGCTTCGTCTCTCCGGGTTCGTTGTCGCGGGGCGATAAAGGTGACGGCGGCGCGGCGGCGGTGGCGCGGGCGCAGCGGCACGATCGTCGCCGGCGACGATCTCCGCGGCAAAGCCGCACCATTTTTCCAAACGGCGCGGGTGGGCGAAAGCAAATCTGCCTCGTTCGCAAATCGGATGGGATCCGGGGTCCCGCCAGTCCCGGGTACAACCGGGCGCGGGCAGGTTGCGACGATGCCCGACGTTTCCCGAGGATCGGTTGGGATTGGCGCCCGCCGGCGTGGGAGAACAGGCGACTTTTTCGGCGACTCTTTCCCTTCCCCTCCCCCCCCCCTCCCATCGCGCCGTGACAAAGGGGAGTTAAAGACGGTTGATATATCGCGCGTCTCGCGCCCGGCTACCCGGAAACGGTAATAAGTCATGCCGGTCGTGCGGCTAACGGGACAGCATTAAAGATTCCTGACTTACGGCGGTCCTTGTACGCTGCCACCTGCCAACCCTGCCCGCGTATAATATGTTATGCCTTTCGCGATGCGGCACGGCGTTCGAAATTTCATGACTATTCAGAGTCGCACGATGTCCACCTGTGTCCGTTTGCTTCGCCCGAATCACGTAGAATATGCATCAAGATTATGTTTCGTGTTGATACCGATTCTATTAACTTGAACGCAATTGAACGTAGGATAGATACTATCGATTTCGTGTTAAATAAGTTGTTGACAGCTTCACTGCATCCTCTTATCACGTAATACGATCGAATATATCGGATTAATAGAGCGATTAATAATATTTAATCAATAAGTCCGTAATTTTTAAATTCACTTTTCATATAAAACATTTTTGTAAAATGGATTTCTACAACAAATTAGATTAGTAATTCGAAATACTAATTCAATAACAAGAATAAATTCTTTAATATAGAAAATTATACCTGCTCAATTATAGCTATAAATTATACATTATGATTCAAAATCAGCTTAGTACGCGCGGCTGAGCTACGCATTACAGACTATTACGATTTCAGATCCACGCTTGACATATGCATTGTCTAATTTTGTCAGATCCACACAGAGATGGAATACGCGAATTCTCGATGTGAACACCGCTAGTCCGAATATACGGGCCAACTGCTGGATTACCGTCAGAGTTGAATATGCGATATCCAGATTTTCGGTCGACACTACTCGATTAATTGGCCACTCCGATATTCGAAAATCCATTTGAGGATCCATTTCGAGAGGACGGCCTTTGAGTGTTATGCACGATTAAAGAGGGTAGCAAACTATTGGCAAGGCTCTCACGCCGCTCTTTAACCGACGACTAAATATATACGTTACCAAAAATCGTATTGTTCACATACGAGCTACTTAATTGTCCTTTCCCGGCGTACAATTATAAACGGACGAAATTATAAAATATACATTCGTACTTTTGACAATGGAAAAATAATTTCACTTCCAGAGTGCATGCGCACTGCTTCGCAGTACACCGAACACTCGTCGTGTGGGCCAAAAAGTCCTCGACGGGGGCCTAACTCGCACCCTAACCCGCAACGTACCTCGCTTCACCCCCGAAGAATTCCGACCGGTCTGGCATTAGCCCTCGAAGCTTTTTGCCTCCGTCGGCGTTGCTTAATCCCCAGTAACAAGAGACTGCGCCTTTGTTTCATACCGTATTTCGACGCTAGTAGCAGTGACCCACACGCCACCCTTGAAACGATCGATCGGTTGGGGCTGATAAGACCGACGAACCTGCCGACGATTTTATCGTCTTGGGGGCGCGCAATGCCACCGATACACCGGACGTGATAACGTTATGACGCGAAATCACTTGAAGTCGCATTTCTTTTCGACCCTCGAAAGAAAGACGAGTTTGCCGAGTTATAGCGTGGCTGTACGGGCACACGTTATCGCCGCTAATCAAAATGCGTCGTATAATGCGTTGATGACGCGAGATGCTGTGATATTCATAACATGACAAAAATTCGCGCCCACTTTCGCGCCATATATCAATGTCACGTGGCAGCGAGTTAATCGAATTTTCTGTTTTTGCTCGGATTATCCACAGGATCAATATCGTACAGGAGGAGAAAACATACATGTAAATAGCTTTCTAATAAAAACAGAAACAAGTTCCGGGAACTTTTAAATTTTTTAAACCAACATTAAAGTTGAAGTTAATTTTATAAAAACTGCAGAGTAAATCTATCAAATTGATTACAAAGAAGATTATATATTAAACTAAGAACAAAGTCGAAGCGCGAATATTTTCGAAAATTTGACCGTCGTCGCTTGTTACAATATTTGGCATACTAACTATATCGATTCCATCCGGAGTGTAAGTTGCAAGGTGGATATCCGAAATACCGTGCGCGCTAATCGATCGATGAGCCGCAATTGTGCTCGCGGATAGACAAGCGCGTAATCAATTTGGCGAGGCTCCGTGGGAGAAAGGCGAGAGGATGAGGGAAGACGCACGATCCATCGCGAGTACGCAAAATACCGTAGACCGCCTGCTGCCAGCCAAGTCAGCTGGTCCGTATCAGCAGGCGCCGCCGGTAAGTAATAAACGTCGATAACAGAAGCCGGACGGAATGCAGAACGGCCGCGGCTCTTGGGCCACGTAAATCGATCGCTTCGCATTTTCCATCCCGGCCAATCATCGAACGTAATCGATTATCGGGGCTCCTTTCGGGGCTCCAGCATCGCATCAATTCGCATCACGCTCGGCGTCACGATAGCGGCGCCGGCTTTGTACGGCAGCACGAAGGCGCAAGAGAGCGCCGCGAATGGCTTCGGAACCTAGTCGCTGTTCTCGCGCAGAAAGGGTTGCTCCCGCGAGCGCGGCACCCACCGCCCCGACATTAGCGTTGCAATTAAACATGTTTATTACCCGGCAACCCGGGGGGAAGGGGGGTAATACAGCCCGGCGAGTCCTTAATGCCGGCTAGATAGCGCGCGGCATGCATTGCGTGCTGAACTCGGCTGGGGGCCTAGGATGAGGGGATACCTGCGCGCCGCGGTCTAATGCGTTTACTTAACTATATACGTCGGTCCGCCCGCGCGTACGTAAAATACTCACGCGAATGCGTGTACATACGTATACGTGTACGCGCTGATCGTGTATTGTCCTGAGCACCGGCGCGGTGTGCGCTCAGAGCGCAGGGTATCCTAAAGTTGCAGAAAGAAACACGAAGTATACACCAAGTCGAACGGGCCCGTACTTTTTGTCGGTCATTTCGAGACCATTCCCTGCCCGATGGAAAACGTAACGTAATGCATCTTAAGTACATACCGGCGAAATACCAGGGCCGGTAAATAAACGCTTCATTGATGGCAACTTCCTTCCCAACCTGATTTTCTCTCTCTCTCTCTCTTTCTCTCTTACTTTCTTGTCTCATCGATCTTGTAAACCGAATTTCTGAAATAGGCCCCGCGTGTGTAATAGACTGCGAATTCTATAAACAATTCGCCTAAATTTACGGAGTGTGCGAATTGTTGGCACGCATGTGTTTTTCGGAGTAAAAAGAATGATAATGAGAAGGGCTTTCGAAGAACTGGCGAACTCCGATATGTTGACCTAGTTTAAATAACGAGGTGAATGAAATTGTTTAGTAGAGATGTACGTTTATAAAAATATAATAAAAATAAATTTTATATATAGAATTAATACAAACTATTAGCTAAAACTTTCTATAAAATGTTTTATCATATAATTGCGTTACTATATGACATATTTTATTAAATTTAGTTGAAATTTTTTTTATACTCTGTAGTACTATTATCTTTATACAGTTTTAACCATTATCTACTATATTTCAAAAAGTTTTACAACATGATTAAATTTTATTAAAGTTCGTAGTTAATGTTCAAAGTTTCAAAGTTATGCATGTAGTTTACTATCGTTTGTAATTTTGTTTAGCTGTATCGTGATTTTTTCACGTTGGGAATGGCATTCTCGCAGAAAGCGTAAAAGGTCAATCCAGCGTCATGGGGCATTTCCTCTATTCTCCCAGAAATCCCAGGCATAGGGGAGGGTGGGGTTTACTTACTGCTCAGAGACGCCGAGCCTAACGTCTATACCTATACAGTCACCCTTAATCGAGACTCGAACCCTCGTCTTCGAAAAGTTTCGGAAGCAGTAGCTCGATGCGGCTTGTACAAAGTCGAGGGAGTATACAAGGAGGAGGAAAGCGTGGGAGGGAAACGAGGTGAACAAGACGAAGCGAGAGAGGGAGAAGAAGGGAGCAAGGAGAGGGGCCTGTGAAATCCTTGAGAAAGGAAAATCCTATCCCGCGTGTATCCGCTCGTAACGAAGCGGGGCTCTCGCGACTTTGGGACAGACTCCACAGCCAACTATCCCCACCGCCCCCGTTTGGCGCAGTGGCTTAGTTTCTCTAAGACAGCGACTAATGGCCTTCTCGAATAAACCGCACCGTTATTAATGTCAGCGGGATAC